AAGAGACCCACCCGGCCACCAAACCCCCGCCAGCTCCTCCTCCCTGCCTCTCTCTTTCGCCGCCGGGCTGGGAATGGGGAGGAGGAAGAGCGAGAGAGATCCAGCCAAGGGAGAGAAGACAAAAAAATCTCACAATGCCCCCCCCCAGCCGTCCGCCACAAACTCTCCGGCTCTTTCTTCCTTAGCGGCGGGGCGCCTCAGCCCAGCAGAGGGGGGAGGAAATAAATACATTAGGGGAAACTTTCCTGAGCTCAGCCCAGAGATAGACTTACCTGAGGTAAAGTCCAGTCCCGGCGCGGTTCCTTCTCCTTTGCTTAGCTTGGGCTTTTCCCTCCACCCGGCGAACGCAAAACGTTATCTCCAACCCCCGCTCCCGTCAGGTCTTGCCTTCTTCATCCCCCACAGACAGACACGCACCCCGCCAAACTATTCGCCCGCCCGCTCCTGCCACTACTGACTGACTTTTAGCGTCTAGCGCGCCCGCCCGCACGGCCGGGTTAGTTTTTTAACGGTGTTTCTGCCCCCTCCCCTCTTCTCCCCCCTCCCCTCAGGGCCGCGCGGGCGGGCGCGCGCGCGACTGTGTGCTAAGTCCGCGAAGGGAAGGAGGCGGGGACTGAGAGACTCGGGGGCAGGAGGGGAGGGGGGAAGAGTGGAAAGAGGAGAGCGTGTCTAAGTTCTAAACGAAACGCCTCCTTCATCCGTTGGGATATACCATATTGGGATAAAGGGGTTTGGGTGATACCATGCGAGGGACGGTCCAGGGCAAAAAAAAAAAAAAGTATCGTTAGCGCCTATTGTTCCAAGTTTGCCCCTGCCTGGTGCGGGTAGCAGCTGTAACGCGCTGTGGTTTTGGTGTCACTCCGCAGAGCGAGGAGACTCCTGGGACTTATTTATCTCTCGATTTCCATTTCTCAGGCGCCTCACAGAAGCCTGAGGGAGGAGAGGGGATAGTTCGGGTACAATCTCAACAGAAGCCAGTGGACTATATTTAGGTGGCTTTTCTTTTTTCCGTTGTTGTTTTTTTTTTGGAGGGGGGATGTTCCAACTTCCGAGCGCCAAGCATTTCCCTTTAAATACGTGCATTCAAAGACCAAACGTACATTGTAAAGGGAAAAACAAATGGAAACTTTTAACCTTAACAATAATTAGCAGATAAATATTATTATTGGATGTTTCTATCACTATAAGGGTTTCGTGGCAATGATGCTTGTAAGACTCCCGTTCAGTAACTTGAAACTTTTCTTCAGTACAGTTTTATGTGTATGTCGTTCCCAGGCAGCCTATTCATACAGACGCCATGGAGTAAGTCCCATTGAAACCAGTGGAATTTACTTTTGAATGAATATGGGGGTTGTAACTGCATGCCTGCAATAGTATCTGTGAACAAGGCCACTGAATACACTGGGACTTGGAAGTATGTATTGTGGATCTGGTTGTTACTCTGCTGAGGTGTACCACTACCATCAGCATTTGCTCTGTCACCACCTAGGCAGCATACGGTTTCTGTCCAATAATATTTTTAAAATACAATGGTACCTTGAGCTTCTTCTTTTTTTTAATTTACAGAGTATGAACTTCTGTAGGCTGCTACCTAATTCATTGTATCAGTAGTGAAACTGTTGCCTGCAAGAACTTGGGAGACCCAATACTAAAATCTGGGTGCTGGTGTATCACTTACCTGGTGCAGCATCAGCACCATGACTTAGTATCTTGCTCAGCAGAGGGGAAACATGTTTCAAAAGATGGTCTCTAAGGTGTAGGGAGCACAGCAACTGCACCAGAGCTCATAGCAAACTTTACCACAGTTTACAATTATAGAGTAATTTGCCAGAAAGAAAAATAGACGGTTTCATAAAGTTGCAACCAACTCATGGCCACTCCATCCATAGGGTGTTCCAGGCAAGAGATGAGCAGAAGTGGTTTGCTATTGCCTTCCTCTGCATAGCAACTCCAGTCTTCTTTGGTGATCTCCCATCCAAGTACTGATTGTGGCCATCCTTGTTTAGCTCCCAAACTCTGAGGAGCTCAGGCTAAACTAGGCTATTCAGTCTGCTTGCCAACAACAACCCCTGAAATCTGTAGATAGAAGAAGCCAATAAATGCATGTCAATGTTGTCATACCTCCCTGATGTCATGTGGCCACCTATATACACAACAATAAGAGTGATTAACACATGGAATTCACTGCCACAGGAAGTGGTGGCGGCTACAAGCATGGACGGCTTCAAAAGGGAATTAGATAAGCATATGGAGCAGAGGTCCATCAGTGGCTATTAGCCACAAGGTATAGATAGGGACTCTGGGGCAAGTGATGCTCTGTCATCTTGGTGCTTGGGGGGGTCAACAGTGGGAGGGCTTCTAATGTCCTGGCCCCACTGGTGGACCTGATGGCACTGGTATTTCTGGCCACTGTGTGATACAGAGTGTTGGACTGGATGGGCCTTTGGCCTGATCCAACATTGGCATCTCTTATGTTAATAAATGAAAAAGGAAACACAGCACCCACCACAGAAGGAGACTTTGGAATTAACACAGTCCAGGGAGGATCACTGATAGTGGTTCCAATCCCTTGCTGCAACTGTCTTCCTATTTGCCAGGCTGATACACAGAAAAGGAACAGTGACCACTCCAACCATTGCACCAAAGTGCCCCTGCCGCTGACCTGGCAGAAGCAATTGAGGCAGAATCCCCAAGACTTTTCTCGCTCAAGAGTTCAGTTCTTGGTGTGGGCATGGGGAGAGCTCAGGAGCACTTTTTCCAGGAAAGGAGGATGCAGACACAAGGATAGCAACAGGGGAATGCACAACAGCCCATTCACAAAAGGCATTCCTACCAACTTCCCCCAAAAAAAACTTACAAGGAAAAAGCACCCATGTTGCAAACAGGAAGTCCTGGGTTTGGAACCCAACAAGGTGGAATGCTTGCAGGAAGGCAAAGCAATATGCCTGTTGGAAGGAAGGGGTAGATCTAGAATCCACCTTGGACACACTGAGATAGTCTTCTTCACTAGCCAGGATAAAAGTAGAGCTGTCCCTACCGTCTGCATGCCTACCATCTGCATGTATAGGATTTATATAATGCTTAGGGGAGCTTTGAGTGGGTGTAGGCTGAGGGCCACTGTGTGATACAGAGTGTTGGACTGGATGGGCCTTTGGCCTGATCCAACATTGGCATCTCTTATGTTCTTATGTTAATAAATGAAAAAGGAAACACAGCACCCACCACAGAAGGAGACTTTGGAATTAACACAGTCCAGGGAGGATCACTGATAGTGGTTCCAATCCCTTGCTGCAACTGTCTTCCTATTTGCCAGGCTGATACACAGAAAAGGAACAGTAACCACTCCAACCATTGCACCAAAGTGCCCCTGCCGCTGACCTGGCAGAAGCAATTGAGGCAGAATCCCCAAGACTTTTCTCGCTCAAGAGTTCAGTTCTTGGTGTGGGCATGGGGAGAGCTCAGGAGCACTTTTTCCAGGAAAGGAGGATGCAGACACAAGGATAGCAACAGGGGAATGCACAACAGCCCATTCACAAAAGGCATTCCTACCAACTTCCCCCCAAAAAACTTACAAGGATATAGAACCCATGTTGCAAACAGGAAGCCCTGGGTTTCCACCTTGGACACACTGAGATAGTCTTCTTCACTAGCCAGGATAAAAGTAGAGCTGTCCCTACCGTCTGCATGCCTACCATCTGCATGTATAGGATTTATATAATGCTTAGGGGAGCTTTGAGTGGGTGTAGGCTGAGTAGGTACTCTGAGCTATGCTGTGGTTTGGGGGCATCATAGGAGGCTGGTCGGACAGCTGTATTTTCATTTTCCATTACTTCTACGGGAATTTCCCAAGTTATGTCAGATTGCTATTGTAATGGTATACCGGTTGTCAGGGAGGGAACCAGGCTGGAGAGGCTTAGAATACTGACTAAGCCCCATTTTTCCCTGATGCCTCCCAGTTGTTTGCAGGCACCAGGATTATGGCCTAGGACAGTGATGGAGAACCTTTTAGAGACCGAGTGCCCAAACTGCGACCCAAAACCCACTTATTTATCGCAAAGTGCCAACACGGCAATTTAACCTGAATACTGAGGTTTTACTTTAGAAAAAAACAACTCAATTAACTTAAGATGATGCAAACAAAGTAAGGAAAGCAATCCCAAATGTTTTCATTTACTTAAAATTATTTGGCAGAGAATTCAACACTTTAATGATGGTCTGGGCCTGGCTGGGGCAATGGTATGCGTGCCCACAGAGAGGGCTCTGAGTGCTACCTCTGGCACCCGTGCCATAGGTTCGCCACCACTGGCCTAGGACCAAGGTGGTGGCAATGTGTACCTTCAGTTTATGTCAGTGTATCTTGGTATTAGGAGCTGCGGTGGCTCAAGTGGTTAAGACGCTGAACTGCAGGCTGTGCAAGGTCGGTAGTTCAGCAGTTCGAGACCCGAGTTGCCGCATGACGGAGTAAGCTCCCGTCTCTAGTTCCAGCTGCTGCCTACCTAGCAATTCGAAAGCAAGAAATTGCAAGTAGATAAATAGGTATCACTTCAGTGGGAAGGTAACAGCGTTCTGTGCGCCTTGGTGTTTAGTCATGCCGGCCACATGATCACGGAAACATCTTCGGACAGCACTGGCTCTTCGGCTTTGAAACGGAGATGAGCACCGCAACCCTAGAGTCGGATTCGACTGGCTTTCGAGCAAGGGAACCTTTACCTTTACGGTATTACACTGGTGTAGGGCTCAGCATACCTTTGGGACTGCCTCTCCTGGTACATCCCCCAAAGAGCGTTATGCTCCAGTGGTAACAACCTACTAGTGATCCCTGGCCCCCCTGAAGAGTGCCGGCTGTCCCTCAACCAGAACCAGGACTTTTTCAGCCCTGGCTCCGACCTGGTGGAACACTGCCAGGTGATTTTGGGGCCCTGCAGGATTTGATGCAATTCCACAGAGCCTGCTCTAAGATGGAGTTGTTCCACCAGGCCTGTGGTTGAGGGCAGCAACTATTTTCCATCCTAGAGTGGTCTCCCTTCCTCTTTCCCCTCCTCTTTCTTTCTTATCATTTAGATTTTAAGATATTTATTTCCCTCCCAGTATAAGGATCACTAAGTTGCACCCTTTTATACGCCATTTATTAGTCGTAGTTAGTTGCTGCTATATTGTTGTATTATAGAATTGTTTAAATAATTTTAACTGTACGGAGTGTTTTATGAATGCTGGGAGGGAAGGCTATAAATCGAATGAATGAATGAATGAATGAATGAATGAATGAATGGTATCCTAAGCTGTTCAGAGACAGCCAGTGTGATTCCTGGGAGTAGGTTACATTGAACCGACCTGAGTAGAATTCTGAGTACACCTAAGAGGTGTATTTTACATATGATTACATATCGGAGAATCAGGGATACGTAAGCAATGTTACTGCCAGCTCTTACAATATGAGAAGAAACCATAACTATATAGACAAAACATATGAGCTCAGCCTGGTGGGCAGAGAGTTGTTTTGGAAAACAGCGTGCACATCTTATT